GGGTTCCACGACTGTCAATCTTTACAGAAGCAGACTGCCACCTTTCTCCCATGGCGTGGCTGGTGGGTTCTAACACCAAACCGGGTCAGCTTTTAACCACTACACCACCATGGCTCTTTGATGACACACAAGGGAATAGGATGTACAACTCAAATATGTATACTTAAACGTCTTTCTATTGTGAACTTTTACATGCCTGCTGGTGTACGCATGTGTACATACTGTTGCTGCTTTTCTACTCAACTCTGGAGAAAAACTCACGAAGATAATGATTAATTTCAAATATAAAAAAGGGCTATTTGCAGTAGCTTATGACTCAAATGAAGGAGACTGTAAAGCATAAAGCTAATAGGCTTTCTCATTTTTGTTTGCAATGAAGGTGAAATCTATTTTTAGTAGATGCAGGAGTTTCCATAATTTGCTATAAAATTAAAAGAATGCCTAGAGATTTGGTTAGAGAAGATGCAATAATAACTGTGCATGACTGCCATTTCCCTGGGCTCATATCCCAAGGTATGTAGTTCACGGTTTTCTTGAGGAGAGATCATGAAGAGTAAGTTGGCAAGCCAAGAACTTGTAGCCATGACTCCATAACTGATAGTATCAATCCTACTCCTAGTTCATTAACAGATACTGCAAGTCTCTGCAAAACGGAATGTGTACACAAAGACAAAACAAAACAAAATCTAAAAAAAAAAAAAATCAACCCAGTCACTCTATATGCATCACTTATAGAGTAGTCAGTCTCGGGAAGCTCTTCTAATGAGGGATGATGCCTTGTGGCTATTCAGAACACAGACTAGCTCCAGCTTACAAGCAAATACGGGGCTGGATGCATGAATTAAGGCAGAATACAAGATAATACTAACAACAAAATTAATACATACACACTAGTCCTTTTTCAAATAAATATTTAAATCATATTTCCATTTTATATTTACTAAAGGCAATTTGCAAGGAAAAATACACACACACACACACTGGCTGCTTTTCACAATATCGTCTTTTCAGAGCTCTTTCATTAAAAAAAAGAAAACAAATCCCTACTTAGTCGTTTTGTGAGGTTTTCAAAAACAAACTAAAATACATCGAAAACAAAGCATGCCCATGCAATGAAGTACTAATGCTTGCATGACCTACTGCTCAAACTGTCTACCCACATTAGAACCAGTGCTAATAGGCCATATTTGTATTTTAGAAGACCATTTACTATTACAGGGGTCTCATTTAAAATAACAAAACACAACATACAACAAATTTATTATTGTCCAAAATAGGTATTTCACATTTAGAATCTCCAGTGCATACAAAGACCCATAGTATAAAATAATTTTGCCAGAAAACACAGGCGGCTTTTCCAGTACCCTCTTGGAGTCTCAACTTAAGAGCCTGGGAAAATGACAACTGACCTCAATTTGTGTTGGTGGACATTTTGTACGTGAAGCTTCCTGTGAATAAACAAAAAGGATGCCTTTCTTTCCACCAAATTTTCAATTTTTAGAAATTTGAGGGAATTTCTTGGGATATTTGACTTAAAACATTGATTTTCCACCATTCCTTTCTAGCTGACTAGTTATTTTTCTTTCTTATAACAAGTAGCACAATGTAATTGTTATAATTACTGGCTCCTCTTTACTACTAAAAGGTCCACGCAGTACCTACAATGATTCTTGGCTCTATTGAATCCTTCCTTTGTATTTGTAGAACCCATGCCCTGCTGTTGAGTTTATTCTGCCTCCCAGAGAACCTATATAGGACTTGCAAGATAAATCTTTATGGGACTAGCCAGCCTCATCTCTCTTGCAGCGTGGCAGGTGGGTTTGAACTGCCAACCTTGCAGTTACCAGTCCAATGTCTAACTCACAGTGCCTCCCTGGCTTCTTTTGAATATATATAGGTACTCTACATATAGTTTCATACTAGCAGTCAAATAAACATTAGTTTCACATTAAAACCAGGTAGGTTGTAGTCTTAGTCCTTGGTTTACCATGAAGGCATGTGAAAGAAGGCATTACTAAATTCAAGTGGCCCAATTTCCAGATCAGGAAAGGCTGCTCTGTGCTGTCTTTTCAACAAGACACCACACTGCCATTCAACCATTTTTTTGTGGTTTGTTTTACTGGATTATTTTGCAGTTACTTCTTTTATTTTTCCTTTCCTTTTAAAAAACTACATAAATCCATTTGTGCTTCAAACTTCAAAACAAATGTGTGCTTCAAACTTGGTAACAATCTTACAGTCAAGTAGCACATATTACAAAGTCTCTTAATAATCTTCAGTAAATACAGGGAATCCAGGACGGATGAGCCCTATAGGACCAGTGGTGTGAGTGGCAGGTAGGGTAAAGGGAGAAT